GCTTTGGAAGGTTGTATGTTTCTAACAATTTATATATTTTTTCCAGGGTTGTCCAATTTGTTGGTATATACCTTTTCATAATATTCTCTTATAATCCTTTTTATTTCTGCAGTGTTGGTTGTTTTGTTTCCTCCTTCATTTCAGATTTTATTTATTTGAATCATCTCTCCTGTCAAAAAAAGATTAGTTTAGCTAAAGACTTATCAATTTTGTTCATCTTTCCAAATAACCAGCTCCTGGCATCATTGATCTGTTCTAGTTTTTTTTTTTTTTTAGTCTCTATTTCATTTATATATGCTCTGATCTTTATGATTTCCTTCCTTCTACTAGCTTTTGGTTTTATTTGTTCTTCTTTTTCTAGCTCCTTTAGGTGTAAGGTTAGTGGTTTATTTGAGATTTTTCTTGCTTCTTGAGGTAAGCCTGTATTGTGGTAATCTTCCATCTTAGAATAGCTTTTGGTGTATCCCAAAGATTTTGGACTGTTGCATTTTTATTTTCATTTTTCACCATTATTTTTTTCTTTTATAGTTTATTGTCAAATTGGTTACCATATAACACCCAGTGCCCATCCCCACAAGTGCCCTCCTCCATGCCCGTCACCCACCTTCCCCTCTCCCCCTCCCCCATCAGCCCTCAGTTTGTTATCAGTGTTCAAGAGTCTCTCGTGGTTTGCCTCCCTCCCTCTCCCCAACTATTTTCCCCCCTTTCCCTCCCCCATGGCCCTCTGTTAAATTTCTCCTGTTTCACTTATGAGTGAAAACATATGGTATCTGTCCTCCTCTGCCTGACTTATTTCACTTAGCATAACACCCTCTAGTTCCATACACGTTACTACACATGGCCAGATTTCATTCTTTCTCACTGCCATGTGGTATTCCATTGTATATATAAGCCACATCTTCTTGATCAATTCATCAGTTGATGGACATTTAGGCTCTTTCCATGACCTGGCTATTGTTGAGAGTGCTGCTATGAACATTGGGGTACAGGTGCCCTATGCATCAGTACTTCTGCATTCCTTGGGTAAATCCCTAGCCATGCTATTGGTGGGTCATAGGGGAGTTCTGGTGTTAATTTTTTGAGGAACCTCCACACTGTTATCCAGACGGGCTGCACCAGTTTACATTCCCACCAATAGTTCACCATTATTTTTTAATGTTCTGTTTGATTTCTTAGTTGAACTATTTACTGTTTAGTAGAATGATATTTAGCTTCCATTTATTTGTGTTCTTTTTAGAATTTTCCTTATGATATTAGTTTTTCTTTTGAAATATCTTTTTTAATAGTTTATTGTCAAGTTGGTTTCCATTTAACACCCAGTGCTCATCCCCACAAGTGCCCTCCTCCATGCCCATCACCCCCCTCCCCCCCACACCCATCAGTCCTCAGTTTGTTCTCAGTATTCAAGAGTCTCTCATGGTTTGCCTCCCTCCCTCTCCCCCACTATTCCACTTTGTAGGCTGTGGGGTTAGGTCAACTTGTTAAACATCCATTGTACACTGCATTGATCACAACTGTTATTATAAAACTAGTATTTAGCATTGGTTTTTGTTCTTCAACCTTAACTGGACATAAGTCTATGAAACCAAACTCCATGTTGTTTCTTTTCTTTGTTCCAGTAACTCAATAAATATATGTGTGTAAAATAAAAAAAGAAAGAAAGAAAAGCACACAGTAAAAAAAAAAATAAAAATAAAGCTGTTAAAAATATGAGTGTGCAAAAACATTCACAGAAAGTGCCCTGTAGTCATCTCTCACAGCCAGAGTAAACTTCAGAGAGATACACACATATTTCCAAGCAGAAAGTAGGTGCAGAAAGCACCCAGAGGAAGAAATTATGCTGATCACATTATGTAGAATGCAGCAGACAAAAGTAGTTCCTGAGCAGTGGGAAAGAGGGGGAACTGGGGTCACAGACAGCATTCATGGGAAGGGCCTCGTGTTCAGATGACATTCAGAGAGAAAGGAATTCTTCAGATGGAGTTAGATAACAGGCCTGGGACACAAATTACTCCCTGGGAGACAAGCACCGTGCAGAAAATGTTCAATAACAGTGTACAGTGAGGAGGGCCTGAAGCATTGGTCTTTCACAGAGCAGATGGTGTGGTAGAAAACATTCACAAGCAGAGGCCATTCATGTAAAAGAAGGCTGAGTGGAAATAGCGTTAACAGGGAGGCCCATCAGGAAAGCAGTGCCAGTCTTGCTCAAGCAGGAAGTGTTGAGAACAGGGAATCAGTGGTTTACAGAATCAATAGAAGGGTAGAGAAACAAAGATCAGGGAGGCTGCCACTAGAACATAAGGAAAAAAATCCCAATGATTCCAGCTGCCTAAAAGACTGTCATGGATGATCCTCGGGTTTTCCAGAAGCCACTGAGAAAACACATGTATCCTATTTTTGACAACCCATAGTGTCCAGTGTTGCTGCCAGAGAATAAGGGCTTCTTCTCTTCTGCCTTCCAAATCTGGTATAAGTACCTCTCAGAATACTCAAGTACCTGCAGAACTGAGCCCAGAAACATTCTGATGATGAATTCTAGGACGTATAGTTTCCAGGATTCTCCCTTATGCAGGGGAGAGAATGTACAAAGAGGCAGGCATGTTGCCTATTTGCTAACAGCCAATCCAGCATGGCTCACCTTTTTGACCACTCATCACTTATAATACTCTTCTGTCGATATTTTTCTCCCAAATGATCAGTAACAATACTATGCTTCTGCTTAGCATAATTGAAGCATCCTTCATAGGTGAATGTCCCTTCATCTTCTCCAAAAAGGGGTGTCAAAAATCCCATTAGACACTCTCATTCTCTGGGGGATGTCTGTTCTTTTCTAGTTCTGTCACAGTTACACTTTGATATGCTGTTATCCACAGACTATAAGATTAAGCACCACCCACACAATTTAAATGAAGATTAATAAACAAGAGAAGGAAAATTGGGCTAGTAGATTCAAATATACAGTAACAAAGCAAGACAAAATATGCATAGTTTCCATAGCTCTTATTTCTGAAGCTCATCATGAGGTCATGGTCAGTATTTATAACTTCCTTCTTCCACCAGTATTTCAAGTTCCCTTTGACCTCATTCAGGTGGCTGGGTTGTTTACCTGGTGGGAAGATACAAACCTTAATTCCTGGCCCATGAGCCCTTAGTGGTCCTGCCTGCATGAGTCACTATAGTTTTCTATTAATTTATATTATTGGACATGGGAATACTAAGAAACACTCTCAGAAGATCAATCTTCTAGGTTGTAAACATGGTCTTTCCTGCCTCCACTGTGTAACGGCAACCATTATTTCCCCTTGATAATCAGAAGCAATCAACCAGCCACTAACCCTCTTCTTTGTTGTTTCAGTGGCATGAGGGACCCCACATGGCCCGGTGGCAGTCTCAACTTTCAGTTTAATGGAACCAGTGTTGGTTCCCCTGGTGAAATCTTTCCTCCCTTGGGACTGTCACAGGGAGAAGATATTGTGCAAAGAAGCATCACAAGAGGAATGTGTTCTTTAGAGATCCAGAGGTGGAAGACATTCATAAGCAGAGTCCTAAGATGACACCACATGAGGGTTCATGGGTTGGGACCTCTCACAGGTATAGATCTATGGGGGAGGAGGGGGAGGAATAGAGGGTAAGTACTGGGATCAATCTGCTTGATGGAAACCTGGTATGCTAAGTGATTTTTTCAAAATAACACTACCATATTTTCCTTTTAGGTATTTTTGTCAAATACTGTTACCAACAGAGAGTTCTAGAAATATCTGGTTAGGAGCTGCTGCTGTAGTCTTTGTCTTCTGAAGTAATAAAACCTCTTCTTCCATTCCCAATTGTATTCATCTAGCCAAGATGGTGACTGAGGTTGGGGTGAGAAAGTAGCTCCAGGGACACTAGCTCAATAGCTACTGAACATTGGGTTCCAAGGTCCCTGCTCAGTAGTGAAAGGATTCCTCTGCCATGTCTTCTATCTTTGGACTGACTTTTTGATCACTTTTTTTTCTTTTTTCTTTTTTTTTTTTTTTTTTTTTGGTCCCTGGGCTAGATTAAGACATAGCAAGCAAATTGTATTTTGGGATATAAAACTCAGAAGTATGGATCACTTGATAGGCAGCACAACAGTTCAACAGGATTCTGTAGAACTGATCTTAATGAGAAAGATGAAAGTCTTGACTATTGGTACACTTTTGGAGGAACGGGTTCAGATGGTGCCTGGGCACCTTTGAGAAGGGTATTTGAGAGATACATATTTAGAATTATTGTCAAAGAAGAGTTTATGGGACCAGGGTTGTTTAGATGGGAGAAGAGTTGATGAGTGAGAACCCAATAAGCATCTTCATCTACTTTAGGAACTGGTATATAGGCAAGGGATGACAGATTACCAGTGGGTGACAGTTAAAAGGAAACAGATTCTAACTCAACTAAACAATGCATTTTCTGAAACTGGACCTGTCCACAGACAGAGTGGGCTTTTATGGGACTAAGTAGGTCACTGCAAGTGTACAACAAGGACTAGGTGGCCATCTGTATGCAATGGCAATAAGAGGAGGATGGACCCCCCAAAAAAATATTCTTTGTTAAGATTTAGCCAGTCTAGGGGCACCTGAGTGGCTCAGTCTGTTAAGCATCTGACTTTGGCTCAGGTCATGGTGTCACGGTTCACCAGTTAATCAGGCTTTGTGCTCTCACCACAGAGCCCATGTTGGATCCTCTGTCTCCCTCTCTCTCTGACCCTCCTCCACTTACGCACTTGGTCTCTCTCTCTCAAAATAAATAAGTAAACTTAAAAAAAAAACCTAAAAGATCTGATCAGTCTAAAAGTCTATACTTCCTATGCATGCACAATTTCTAGATTTTGCTATTTTGTTCTCTTTAGATTTGATACTTCTTGAAGTATTTATTTGATTTTGTAGAAAATAGCTTCAGGTAATACGAGAAAATAAATTACACAGCCAATACACCAAGTTATTACACTTAAAAAAAAAAGGAAACCTTAAACATTGACAATATTGACATATATAATATCTCAACATTTATTATATTGATTACATTAATCTGGGTTAAGCAAACGTGATTAAAAGCACTAGACAATTAAAAAGAAGCAAAAGTATAATGCAACCACCTCTCTTAGGTCTGCAGAATTCTGTGCCTTTTTAGACATGAAAGAGGCTGTTTTGAATAGAAATCAATATTGATCTTACAAGTTTTCTATTAATTTCTTGCATATTAACTCTAAAACTCTCCTAAAGGCAGAGTGTATCTTAAAGGTGGAGAAGTCAGCCTATCTTGGATCTCTCTATCCTGTACTCCATTAACTAGGCCTATACTGACTCAGGGTTGGTACCTCTCACACAAAGGAGCAGCCTTTCTTTCCCTTTTATTCATTCATTCAGCACCTATGTGTCAGTATCTATCATGTGCCAAACCCCACGCTGTGGACCATACTTGGGGAATACTGGCTCATATTTCGTGTTGGTACATGACCAATATTATACCAATTTTCCCCTTCAGAGCAAATCTGATGCACATCTATGTAAATAAATGGAATGTTCCTCTCTGATGAACTGGTGGGAAGACAAGTCCACCAGCCAATGTGCGTAGGAGTCAGAAACTGGAGAGAGATGGAGACGTTTTCTAATTAAATCAAGGAAAGATACCCTCAGTTTTCATCAGAAAAACTTTCAGGTTGTCCTTCCTTTCAAGGACCTTATGCAGTGATATTGGTCCCAAAGGCATATGAGCTTAACCTTAGTAGAGTATTAGCTGACTGCATGGATGGGCCTGCAATCGGTTAGACAGCCAACAGGTTTCTCTGTTTCAAGTACTTGGAACTCCAGTAGTTGTTGCTATCTTGGCTAGCTCAGATTGGGTAGCTTACTAGGGCCTTCCGTAGGTTGACAAGCTCTTCTTTGAGAAGGTCTGTGAGTCAAATCTCTACCCAGGAGAGAAATCTGAGTTTGGAAGAGTATCTCAGTTCAAAATTGTTTTCATAGAAAGGGGGGGGAGAGGGAAGGAGGGTAGTTTGATTTTTGTGGGAGACCTAGGATGCCCAGAGGAAGAACATGATTTCATACTTTCCTCTCTTTGTAAGAGTACGCCTCAGGGGAGGCCTACAGAGGGCACTGTTACTTGGTAAAATGAGGTAACCTCTGCACAGTCCTTGACACACAACACTAAATCAATGCTTGGTATTGTGGTTACTGTTACTGAAAACATGGTTTCTGAAGAGAGACAGAAATGGTTCCACACAATGCAGTGACCACCTTCTGAGCCTCAATATTACCATATGTAAATTGGGGACAAGAATAACCTCTGCATAGGATTAGTCTGGGATTAATGCCATAACTTTATGATAACGCCTAATATATAGTAAGGCCTTGAGAAATGTTAACTGTTTTTCTCCCTTTTTAATCCTGCTGGAGTCTATATACCCTAAGACCTACTTTTGAAGACTTCTGTGTAATATTGGAATTGAGGGCAAAGGTATTAATCAGCCATCAAGATTCAGACACAGATGTTCCTTTGGTCAGTGGTCTCTTAAGAATCACATCCCATGGAATGCAACCTTATCTGTGTAGACTTTCTAATGCATGCCCATTTGCTTGCAGGAAAAAAAATCCTCAATTAGAGGGAAAAGTGGGAAGAAGAAGATAGTTAAAATCTGCTATATAACTCAATAAAAGCAATTAACTACTTTTAAATGTGTATGGAAATTTAAATATATAAATGTATGAATATATGTATTCATACATTTATATATATGTACACACACACACACACGCACACACATATATGACAATTACAATAGACAAGCTAAATATTAGCCTATGCCAATCCCTAGCATTCAATGTGTGCAATTTACCCATCAGAGATTTACCCACCTGATGCCTCAGAAGCTTCAGGGGACCCTCTTGATTTAAAGCTCCAAAGGTACACTTAGAGCTGTGACCTAGATTGTGGGGTTGCTCTCTGTCCCAAAAGTCAGGATACACTGAAACTCATGCTCCTGCCTATTGTACCAGACCACCTAAACTCATCAGGAAGCCAAGGTATCTTAGGAAAGCCGAGATGGAATTCTTGTTCAATCTTTTTTCCTTGAGGCTGAAATAAGATCACTTATGTAAAGTGCTTTCTAAGCTATAAAAAGCTATACGCACAAGTTATTGTCATCATTTAGATACTGTACTGGATGTAACCAGTTCAATTTGAAAAGGACAAAAGTCTGAAGAAATCAAATAGGAAGGGAGAAAGTGAGGAAAGAGGAGCTAGCAACTTGGGGCAACTGAGGACAGCCAAACTTGTCCAGGAGTCATCAGCTTCTTCTTAGCCTGGAAGAGCTAAAAGAAAATAGTAATAGCTATAAGATTAGAAATTCACATCCAATCCAAAAACCAGTCAGAGGCTCTTGGGTTGGTTGATGTCTCCAGACATTAGGAAAAACAGTCCACATCAATGTGCCTTCTAGAGAGAAGACAGAATAGGCTTATATCTGGTGCAGAGCCTGGTTGCTACCCATTTCCATTGCCTTCAAGATAGATACTCCGCTCTGTGCTTCTAGCCGAGGAGGTGCTAAGGAGGAGGGGCTGTGAGGATCTGGAAAGGCAGTGTCCTCCTATAGGCCCCAGGTCCTAAACAGCTCAGAAACTGAGTCTGGGTCAATTCTGCTGGCTTTTAGCATGCAAACCTGTCTTCAGGCAGTGTTGAAAATGTGGTCCAGAGGCTACCTAAGAAGCCCTTCCTGGTTTGGCCAGCCCTAGGATGGCACCATTCCCTCCCAAATATGCCCATTTATCCTGGCCTTTACCTGCTGCTGGCCCTCCACTTGTATCTTGTTTTACTGAGAACGTTGCCTTTTGAATCCCGATATTATATTATATAAGCAATGGTGGAAGTGATCCAAGGGAATTTAGCAGAGAGCCTTGGATTTGAATTAGAAATGCTGGATTGAGATCCTGATTCTGCCATCCACTAGCTAGTTGTTTTCTCAGGCCGTTTTCCTTTTTAGGTCTTTATTTGCTTGTCCTCAAATGAGGCTAACAACACAGGCCTGGCCAGCATCCCAGGGCACCTAGAGAGCTCAGCTGAGATGCTGCATGAAAGGTGCTTCTTGAGAGGAAGATGCTATAACTCCTGCAATTTAGAACAGTCTGTGTGGAGGGTCTTTATCTGTGCCACCTAAAACCTCAAAGCTTCGAGTGTAAGAGAGATATCAGTGTCCTGGTTTGAGACTCAGGGAAATGAGGGCACACTTCTTCTCCCTAATAAGTTTCCTGGCTGCTTGGTACCCACCTAGAAGAGCTTCTCATAGCATTTTCCACAATGGATGGTGTCATGGTGAATGAAGATCTGATCCAGGAGCTCACCCATTGGCTTACTGCAAATCCCACACTGAAAGAGAAAGCCAACTAGAGGTCAACATTCAAGTGAAGCAACATAAATTAGTGGACTGTGGAGGGTGTACCTGAGTAGACACTGATTTGATGGCACATCTTGGACTTTGAAGCAGAGAACAAAAGTTGGTAGAAAACACAGACAAAACTCAAGGAAACAAATCCACACAAATTAGCAGGCATGATGATCACATAGTAGTTAGGAGCCCAAGTTTCAGAACTGTGCCTGGATTTGAGCTCTAAATCCACTCTTTATTAGCTGGGTGATCTTGGGCCAGTTACTGAGGCTCTCTGAGTATCTATTTCCTCATATATAAAATGGACACACTGGCAGGTTACCATGAGGATATGGTGAGGTAGCCCACAAAGGGCACTGATCCTGGAGGAGGGCTCCTCCTCCATTGCTGTTGTCGGAGGGTAGAGGGACTTTAATTGTGATATTTAAGGTCCAAAGGAAGGTGATATGAAAACCTAATGAAAAAGAAGGCTATTACGACAGTGTAGCCCTGTTATCCCCATGACCCTCACACCTGCCACTCTAGTGGACATCTGAAGGACAAGGGGAGTGGCCAGCCATCTGTAGCAGGCCTTCCTGCAGACAGTCTTGAATAAGAGGGGTCATGACTTCCCAGGTGTCTGGGTTTCCAACCATCTCCACAGCTGCCATGGGCTGATAAGGCATTCTGGCTTCCAGTTTGCAAAAGATGCTGAGCACCATGGAAATGACTGTTGGCATCCTCACCTCCCTCCACTCGTTCAGTTCCCACTTCTCCCAAGCCTCTGGAATGGAGCGCAATCACACAGAGATCATGCATTCTTTCCACTCTTTGATCCACGAGGCTCCCTAAGTCTGGACAATGTTAGCAGCACTGACCTTCTTCCTTACCTTAAAGCAATAATCATGGCAGCAGACGCCAAGATGCTCTAGGGTAATCTTTGGACAATCTCTGATCTCCTGGTTGCAGTAAGTGCAGATCCCTCCAGTTGTTCTGTGAGATGAAAACCAAGAACCTGGCAGTCAGGCTGGCATGCAAACTACTGATGTGATGCAGCTAGACCGTCTGGTTTGACACAAACAGCCATATGTGCCTGTATTCTCAGCCTGCCATCTTTTTCTGCAGTGTGAAATTGGTTGCATATCCCTGGGTTGGACTGGGCCTCAGATCACTATATACCCTCATGATCTTTCCAGAAATTGATTATGTATCTTCACCTTATTCACAATCATATGTGTGGACCCCTTGGTTTGATTCTTATTCCAGGCAGCTTGCTTCTCCCTGACCCCTTGCCTAGTATGCTGGGGGCACTACTCCCCTCTAGAACAAGAATACCCATGCCTTCTTCTACAGGGCATGTGACATTGTCTGCCTTACCTGGCCCCCTGTCTTGATGACACTTCCCTTCATGTCTGGGGACACTAAGCCCTACCTCTCAGACCCTACTGTCTTGGACCCACCCCGCTTCATGATACTCCAATGACCATCCCAAAGGCAGTCTAACTATAGAGTCGGCTGGGACCTCATGCTGGAGTTCTAGATACTGATTTCTAGGTTGAGTATCTCTCCAGTTTGAGGATCCCTGTTTTTGTTTCTGAGAGTCACCCCTGCTTTTCCTTCTCATAGAGAACCTGCTGAAAGTGCTTGCCTGCCCTGATCCTTCAGGCGTAAATTGTGAGCTTTCTTTCAGAGATTTGGACATGCTTCTGACAGGAGGTAGGGGTGCTGCTACCAACCTGGAGTCACATAGTCTCCTCCCTTCAAGGGCCCAGAATTACCATGAGCATCTCAAAGCCCTGTTTCCCACACGTATTTTACCATCACCAGTTTCATCTCACACTTAGTCAGATAACACAGTTATCTGTGACCTGACCTGGGAGTAGTCATGGACCTGGGGTTTAGTCCTGGCTTGTTCCCTTCACTGTGACCTGAGTGAACTGCATCTCTAAGACTCCTTTGTCTTCTACTTCAAGAATTTAAAAATAGGACTTTTTTTTTTTTTTAATCATTAAGACCATCCTGTGGCCACTGTCATCTAGTGACAGCTTTCAAAACTGCTGAATGAAGCAACCTCTGCACATTCATTCAATTTACATGAATCGCTCTCTCTGGCTCTTCTCTGGCTTCTTGATGATAGCAACCCAGTTTTCCTCATTTTCCACCCATCGCTGTCTTTTGTAGTTTAGGTTTTTTTCTTCTTTCTTTCTTGTCATATTTACAGGTTCATGAAGTGATCATTTAGGTTCTAATCCCAATGGCCTCTTCTGCTGACATGAGCCCTCTGGGCTTTCAGACATCACCATTTCACTTATCAGTAGACTTTTGAGTTTTCCCTCTTGTCTTAGCTGAGTTCAAAGACTTTAGTTGCCTCAAGTGTGACATCTGAAGGACAGGTTTGCAAGTGGATCAGAAGCAGCCAAACAGAAGACCAAAGCAAATGGACTTAGTGTGGAAATGTCTCTCAGCTGTTTCTTCTCTGTAGACCCACAAGCTCCCTGGAAAGATAATAGACTTACCTCTCAGAATACAGAGAGCTGTCACATGCAGGTTTATTCTCCATGTCACATGAGTCTTCAATGCTTCTAACGCTGCAGAGAGTGTGGCGGGGAAGAGGAGGGCAGAAGATGGGAGTCAAATGACTACCACAGTCATGGGTGAAAATGCTTTGATAATATTTTTAACTCTGTGGTCACAAGCTGAGACACAGTTCTGCATGGCCAGCTGTCATCTGTTATGCTGAAGAGCTGTGAAAGCTTTGAAATTGGTGCCAAGGAGGTGTAATTCTCTTGGAGGAGGGCTCTTGCGTGGGGAGCAAAGAATACCTGCTATTCTGAAGAAGATGACAAGGGAGGTGGCCACGATTCTTGAGGCTGTGTATTCCAGGAGAACACCCTCACAGATTCACTGACCAGTAGGAAAGGATCATGGTTTTTCTCCCCACATATGCATCTGGGTTATAATGTGAGTCACAAAGAGCCCACTCACAGCAGAAATCTGACATTAGGAATGGGAGCAAATAAAAGAAGAAAAGATTCTGACATATTACCTGTGTTTGAGTTAGAAAGGGAATTGGGGTGAAGTTTTTTTTTTCCTTTCTGCATCTTCATTTTCAATATGACTTTTGATAATAAATGCAAATTATTAAAATAAAACAAAAAACCCTATTGTTTGAGCACCTGGGTGGCTCAGTTGGTTAAGTGTCTGACTTCAGCTCAGGTCATAATCTCATGGTTTGTGAGTTTAATCCCCACATCTGGCTCTGTGCTAGGAGCCTGGAGCCTGCTTCAGCTTCTGTGTCTCCCTCTCTGTCTGCCCCTCGCCTGCTCACAGTCTGTCTCTGTCTCAAAAATAAATAAATGTTAAAAAAAAATTTTTTTTAACCCTATTGTCAGGAAGGTGTGACCAGCTACAAGCTGCTATTCTCACAGGAGCCATGTGGTGGCCATAAAAGGTAGCCAGAAAAACTGCTGCTCGGAGGTTAAGTGTCCCGCCTAAGGTCATGCTTGGAGTAAGGAGTGAGCTAGAATTTCAGTCTAGGCTCTGTTTTTTTTTTCTTTCTTTCTTTCTGAGCATTAAGCTTATCTCTAAGCTTCCTAGAAGGTAAAGCAAAAAGGAAAAACACAATTCCAATAAAGAAACTCTGTTTTTTTCATAAGACATAATCTTTTAACTGAATTTACAATTCAATTTTAAAATAAATTTAGTTGTCAGATTGTAAGAATTAAACTTAACAGAACGGTGGGAATGAGAGAAGACTCAGGAGATAGAGTTCAGTTAAGTAACACTTATAGAGGCAAATGCTAGATGGCAGGGACAGCTCCCTCAGGGGTTCTGGGGCTTTCATATATATTATTTCTAATATTAAAACCTCCCTGAAAAATAAAAAAGCTGCAGAGTCAGAAAATAGATCAGTGGTGGCCAGGGGCTGTGGCTGGTGGTTTGTGTGGCTGTTAATGGATATGGGGTTTCTTTTTGGGGTAATGAAAATTGGATTGGATAGTGGTGATAGTTGCAAACATGGTGAATGTACTAAACACCCCTGAACTGTGTACACTTTAAAGACTGAAGTTTACGACATGTGAATTATATCCCAATAAAGTTAGTGACAAAAACCACCCTTAGGAGGTACAAGTGAAGAAACTGAGGCTCAGAAAGGTTGAGGATCCTGTGAAAAAATAACCCAACCAATGGGGGCTAACGTGGGGCTTGAACGTATCTGTTATTCCACAGCACCTGTGAAACCTGGTCCAGGATCCCCAGAGGCCCAATCGTGAAACGAGACCAGGGTGCTCCTCTTTGTAACTAAAATCTTCATCCTAGCAGTGAGATAATGTGCTATAAAAAACATTCCCAGGGGAATGGTGTCTCAGTGCAGATTACTTTTTAACTGAGGTGGCATGAAGGTATCCTTCCACATGGCATCAGGAAATAAGCAAATAAAGAGACGATGAGTAAAAATTATGCATCAGGACCTGCAGTCAAATGTGTGCTCAAATGTGTGCAATTACTGGTAACAGTGACCATATAGCAATTAAATGTGAGGCATCCTGGTATACTGGAAAGGGCATGGGAGCTTAAGAGATGGTAGGGGAAATTAACCAGATAAAAGAGATTGGAACAAGATGGAATTAACTAGATAAAAAGTCCTTAAGGGCTTTGCCAGCTCTGTAAAGAGCAATGCTCTCAGAATTTCACTAAAGAAAGCTTGTGGTATACCAAGACAAAAAGTGAGGCAAGGGACAGCACTGGAAGCGGGGTGTAGGATGAATTAACAATAAAGGGGAACACAAAGGTACCAACTTATGTAAAACAGCTTGAAATCATGTCTGCGGGCAATTACATCATTCATCCATTCAATAAATGGATTACACAGAAACAACTCTGGGCCAAGCCCTAGGAAAGGTATGGGGGATTCAGAATCATGGAAGGGTCTGGGACTTGCTCTTACCTGCATGAAGACACTGGCTTCCCAGAGGATATCTCACTTGCATTCATGCATTCCTTCATGAAAAGAATCCCTTTGCTGTAGAAGAAGCACAGTGGAATGGAAAGAGGTGTACTGAACAAGTCCAGGGCACTGGGTCTGGCCCAAAGGAGGGGTCCAAGGCTGGGAGGAAGTGAAGGGGCTTATGGTAAATTCTGTGGGTAGAGGCACTAATGAAAGTGGTACCAGGTAAGGAAAGTGGCAAACAGGAGCTGCTGCACTACTGAGCATACTATGGATTAGGCTGAAATTGAAAGTTGTGGGTTCAGCTTGCTGTGTGCAAATTTGAGAGCCCTAGAAAAATGCTCCCTGCAGCCAATGTAAACATGCTTTCCCTTCACGCAGATCTCTTTACTATGGGAGGCTTATCTCCTACCCTCCCCTAGACTGCAGTACACTGCAATACAACACTTTGTATTGTCCTCTCTGACTGCATTTTCTTTCCCTTTTACCCTAGCTCAGGATAGCCTCCAAGTGGCAGCTGTAGACTGTTGGTCCTTGCCTCTCTGTGTAAATCTCTAGCAACAATGTGATCTCTCCCTTCTCACTCCTAGATAGGTCCCTGGCAACATTGGAAGTCAGTTTCATGTTTGGTTTACCGTGGCCCTGAATTTGACCTTTATCAAGCTGGCTTGATGTTATCAGAGAGCCCTCTAAACTCCCTGCCCTCCCTCCGCCCCCCATACACACCTCTCACTCAGCCTCTCTGCAATAGCTAATATTACAAGCAAGTCCAGGAGTGCAGGTGAAGCGGTAAATAATGTGAGAGAGACAGACATAAGCCTTGTCCTCAGTGGACTTTCTCTGGCCTTCCCATGCGTTTCTCAAGAGATATTATTAGCAAGGTCCTACAGATGGCAGAGTACTAGGAATTAACATTGGGTTGGAGGAAGGGGATATGATGAGATTCTGTCGAGACCTACAAACATGACTTTATGTTTGTTTAACATAAAGTTTAACTTTGTTTAACTTTTTATCTACTTAATTCCATCTTGTTCCAACCTCTTTTATCTAGTTAATTTCCCCTACCATCTCTTAAGCTCCCATGCCCTTTCCAGCATACCAGGATGCCTCACATTTAATTGCTATAGGTATCATAAAATGATCCATGTTATAGATCTGGGCTACACTATTTGGCCCCTTAACCAATGGGATGCTGGGAATTAGGAGTGGCATTAGAGCTAATATTAGGGAAGTGACACAGGACAAAAACCAAGTCCTTTAACTCAAGGGTGGGTATAGCCCAGAGAACACTTCCCAGGTTGTCTCTTCTTACCTGGTTGAAATGGAGTCCAATTCACTTGGGGAAGCTGGGATGTAAACATGAGGTTGCTCAGTAGAGGGAGTAACGGTAACAGTGACCATACAGCTCAAGGGGTTTTTCACCCTGAAGGAAGTAAATGGAGGGGGGAGTGTCTCAACAATGATAGCTGACATCTTCCAAGGTCAAATACGGTTTGGGGGGCTACTCCTGAGACTGCCACTTTAAGGGGTTTAAAACTATGCCAATATTTTTAAAAACAACCCATGCAAATCATGGAGCTTATACAAGTTATACAAGTCTCCTGAGATCAGTGTGTGGAACCACTTACTTTATAGATAAGAAAACTAAGGTTAAGTGATCCAGGTAACACTGTGAGTCAGTGGCAAAATCTTAATCTTACAGATCCTCCCAGAACTTTCTAGTACAGCCAAACGCCTTGTTGGCCTGTGGCTCACATGGTTTGAGCCGACGCATTGGGCTGACAGGAACTTGACAGAACAACTCAGCTCACCTCCTCACTGAATGGGACAGCTCCTTCCCAGGATCAGCTCTACCTCCCCATCCTCCAGAGAACTCTCTGGAGAATAAAATGCCAAGGGAGAGTGACAAATGAATTTAGCCATCGCCAAAGAGGAGACACGCACCTCATTCGGGAAGGCATCTGCCACAAGTAGAGGCAAGAAACTGACATGTATGACGGTTTTTCTCAGTCCCCACCATTTGGCTGCACACAGTCCTTGGCCTAAAATCTGACCTCCTAGCTGGCTTGCAAAGTCTTTCTCTGGCCAGGCCCTTACTTGCTTTCACTCTGCCTGCTTGGGTCACCAGTCCCATATGCAAAGCTGCCATAGCTGCTTGCTGTAGTTCAGGGCACTCTGTTGGGCACCACCACTGCCCCCCCCAACTTGTGTCATCCCCTTTACATCTACCAATTCTCCAGTGGCCTTGGGACAGCTACAGTGGCCTTGGAATTGTCCTGGGCTAAATTTGGCTTCTCTCCAACATTTTGCTGCTCATATCAAGGTCTAGATGTGGCTGCCTCAACCTGACCATGGTTCTGGGGTATCCTTACTCCCTTGCTAGAGAACCCAGTGTCCAAGACATCAACTAGTTTAAGAGTGGGGAGAGAGGAGAACAATCATGATCTTGTACTGCCTAGCTCCCCAGTCTCATTTTCTCAAACTATGTCATATATATATACCTGAATCTGTAGCCACATTAACTGACCTAAAACCTTTGTACATAATACCAACTTCTCCTCTTGGAAGCCCTTCTGAACTACTTGCTCTCTCACCCCAGACTGGGCAAAGTACGCTGCTACAATGTGCCCAGTGATCCTGTGCCTATTCCATGGAAACTAGAGGAGGTGGACTGACTGGGAAGGGAGGCCCCATGGGGACATGGAAAGACAGGTGGGGGAGAAAATACAAAGCCAGAGTGTGAGGAGAAACTGCCTGCATGAGGAAGGAACAACTAGCAAGTGTCTGACATCCTGTGGTCCATACCTAGCACAATAACTGAAGGGACAAGGAAAACAATCCCGTGGGGATTCTTCTAGGACTGCAAAGTGAGCAGTGGGAGAACCCCACCAAGAAGGCTCCTATTCCTGGTCAGGTAACATCCCACTTCCCTCCCATAGCCTCCTCCTCCTAATCTACAAGATCCAGCCCTGGCCCTGCCCACCTGGTCTCCTTCACTCCTCACCTCACTTCTTACCCTCCAACCACAGAGCCCTTCATTTATTCTCTTCTTCTCAATTCCCTCTCCCATCATGGTCTCTGAATATGCTGCCTGTATTGTGTTTTCCCAGGTTCTTTTCCAGTCTGGCTCCTCCTTGTGCTTCAGGCCTCAATTTAATTGCTTCCTTCTTAGCAGAAAAGCTAAGCAGGAAACCATCTGAGCTACAATACCCCTTGTCCCAGCCTTTCTCCATCAGAGGACCCAGTTTCCTTCTTTTCTGGGCTTATCACAAATGGAGAGGCACAAATACAGCATGGTGATAAGCAGCACAGGCTTTGGGCTCTGACTGGGTTCTGATCCCTGTTAGACCACTACTTGGCTAAATGACTGTTGGCAACCTATTTAACCTCCCTCTGCCCTATAGATCTGAGATAAGAATAGCACCTCCCCTATAGGGTTGGTGTGAGGAGAAACGGGTACACATAAAGCACAAGAACAGTGCCTGAACATTTTCAATACACAGCAAATGCTAATGGTTATCATTATGGTATTGTTGCTATAGTGTTTATTCATTGGTGCACCATGCGGTCCCTGAGGGTGAGTGCTTAGGGGCCTGGCCTTCTTCTTCAATGTGGGTGCTGCCTACAACTGGTTCATAGGCGGTACTTATATATTGTCTCTAGGCCCATGGCTCTTGCTTACTTCCAAACTCATGGCTGCTTTCGGGAAAGATCTCCAAAGAGCAAAGAGAGCACCCAAATGTTGCCATGCAAGGCCATCCTTGCAGTGGTGACAGCAGAAGAGTTCATCCACAATCCTTTATCTCTGGTAGGAGCTCCTGTTCACACCAGGTGACACCTTTCTCAGAGACCTTTCATCTCCATTAATGGCAAAGGCATTTCACATCCCTCTCCTGACCCAAGTCTTCATGCTCCAAAACATGTCACCCTGTTCACCGTCTCTGTTCCAGGGTTGGTCTAAAAGATTTGATGCTATGGCTCCAAATTGAAGCCCATGAGGACCTACCCCTGGGTCACTCATTGCTGGTCACCTTTCCACTGTTTCCTGGCTACTTACACCTGCTGAGAGTAACAGGACTGCTTAACATGTTAGGGTTTGTTCTGGATGGTGGTCCATGAAAAGAAACCTGGGCTGTAGCAGCAGGAGCCCAGCACAGTAAGACTTACCTGCTGGCCTGGCTGTCCAGTTCCACAAGCTGCTCTGATATTCTGGGACTCCTCGGCTGCTCTGGGGTCCGGGCGGCTGCAGGCTGCTGGGAGGGTGCAGCTGGGTCCCCAGGGCCACCTCTCAGGACTGTGGGCCTCTCCTGCCAGGTCTCCTCTACCTTGGCAGCCACATTTTTTTCTTCAGAACCAGCCAAGGTGCTGAGGAAGAGTGAGCATGTTTATGGAATGAGTCTTTGGGACCAGTCTTTCTTCACCCACTGCATGGTGATGTCACCTCCTGGGGCCATAACGGGTTCTTCTCCCAGAGGGTGGGGAAGAGAGGAGCCTAGGATGACCTCAACCCCAGAGAGAGTCAGTCTCCCATTTGGGAGGACCCTGGCACTACTGCTCCCTTCCTACTGACAAAGACAGTCTCCACGAACCCATGATGACTTCAATGAGGTTTTATTTTATTTATTTATTTATTTTTTAACGTTTTTATTTATTTCTGAAAGAGAGAGACAGCGTGGGCAGGGGAGGGTCAGAGAGAGAAGGAGGTACAGAATCTGAAACAGGCTCCAGGATCTGAGCTGTCAGCACAGAGCCCGACGCGGGGCTCGAACCCACAAACCGTGAGATCATGATCTGAGCCGAAGTCGGATGCCTAACCGACTGAGCCACCCAGGTGCCCCAATGAGGTTTTAAAAGACAGTCTTCTTCTAGTTGGAAACAGTGGCATTCCTGTCCCCCTCCTCCCATTGACATCTTTCTTTTTTGCAAGGCTTCCCTGTCCCAGTCCATCTGTCCTGCCTAAAAAGCCTCAAGCCATCTGGTCTCCCCAGGCCGTGGTGTTCAGAGATCTTATGAACACAGCTAGTCGTGCAAGTGCCCAGCTGTCTGGGAAGGAGCATCTCCCCTAGACTCCTCTGGCGGGCTAAGTGAGTGCAACAAAAGGGAAACAGGACCAACAGCTCGATAGATTTTCAAAGGGACTAAGATCCCAAAATGGGTCACCAACACCCGAACACTCACGGCCAGACCAGAACTATGTACCTCAGCCCATTTGTGATATTCGAGCGTCATCTGGTGCCTGGCGCAGGCAAGATAGCAGCATAAGCCCTGCCAAGGCCCATCTTGCCCAGTACATCCATTTTCCTTATAGATGCTCACGTTTCCCAGCAGGCACCGCGGTCAGAGCGCTGGGTTGCAGGAAACGCTGACGGTCAGGTGCACACACACTGAAACGCATAGGAGCCCGGCGCATGCACATGCAGGCGCATACGTATTGTGGCAACCTTATTTTCACAGCTAGGAGTAATGTGTCTTCTTTATTGCTAAGTAGTCACAGCTATTACTACGAGGCAATGGTATCTTCATCCTCTTTTTACAGATGAATAATCTGGGGTGAGGGTCGCTTTGCAGCTCATAAATGACTGTCAGAATGGAACTTCAACCCCCTCCCTGGAGCTCAGTCTAACCATATAGCCAGCTCTACATTTTCCATCACTAAGTCTGGAGATGAAAGTGGAGTGGAAGCAGAAGCAAGAGCTTATCACTTAAACATCCCATTTAAAACAAACAAAAAGGCCCTTCTCAACCTTAGTTCCTGCCCACCCACCCCCACAGCAAAACATTATGAAAGAGCTGTCTACACTTACTCTTGTGACTTCTTGACTCACTTTTCCTTGTCAACTCTCCACTGAACCTACTATTGCTTCCCAATATCCCAAATTATCTGTGCCTTGTATCAATATGTGGTCCTTTAGGTCCCTGCCCCAGCTGAGGGTTCTCCAGGATCTCAGGGACCCCAAAAGCAATCATCTGAAGCTGAAAAACTTAATTTGAAATGCTCTGGATATTTTATCCACGTAGATGAGCCTTTGAGACATCCCAAGGGCTGTTTCTCTTGTTCCCTCACCCTTCATTTAGTCTACAGTCTCCATAAGATTACTATCAAGGCAAAAACATTCTTTTTTTTTTTTTTAATTTTTTTTTTATTTATTTCTAGGAGAGAGAGAGATAGACAGCGTGAACAGGGGTGGGTCAGAGAGAGAGAGGGAGACACAGACTCTGAAACAGGCTCCAGGCTCTGAGCTGGCAGACAGCACAGAGCCCAAAGCGGGGCTCGAACCCACGAACCGCGAGATCATGACCTAAGCGAAAGTCGGACGCTTAACCGACTAAGCCACCCAGGCGCCCCAAGGCAAAAACATTCTTAAAAGCTTCTTCTACAAATAGTAGTAGGAACCTTTAGCCTTCATGTGGAGCAGATAACCTCAATTTACCCATCCAGAAACACAATTCTCATAAAAAAGTAAAGTGGGGCAAAGACAAGAGGTAACTCTTATAAAACCAGTGAAGTGTGTGTGTGTGTGTGTTTATACCTGATTCATGGCTGAAAATTTAGAATTACATTCATGAGATCTCTGCTAGTGTTTGTCTGTATGTTTATGTATATATGTGTGTTATATATGTATAATGTTTTCTTATCTCTGGACAGTATACCAAATTAATTTATAAAATCCCTTATCCTCTATTCCAAATAACTTAGAGATAAATAAGCACTGACACAAATTAAATATTCTTAAATCTTTCGTAAATTAAGGGAACAATTTCTAATACTTTGAATGTAAAAAACAGTATTCTTATAAAAACTATCACAAATGGCTAAAATTAACACCAAAAACAACAGATATTGGTGTGGATGTAGAGAAAGTTGCTGGGAATGCAAACTGGTGTATCCACTCTGAAAACAGTATGGAGTTCCCTCCAAAAGTTAAAAATAGAACTATCCTATCATCCAGCAATTTCCAATTTCCTTTGGTATTTATCCAAAGGACATAAAAATATTGATTCACAACTGGACAATAAACTATTAAAAAATATTGATTCAAAGGGGCACATGAACCCTGATGTTTATAGCAGCATTATCAACTATAGTCAAACTATGGAAAGAACCCATATGTGCACTGACTGATGAATGGATAAAGAAAATGGTGTGTGTATGTGTGTGTGTGTGTGTGTGTGTGTGTGTGTATTTATATTACTCAACCATTGAAAAGAATGAAATCTTGCAATTAGCAACAATGTTGATGAAGGTAGACTGTATTAGGCTAAGCAAAAACAGTCTGTCAGAGAAGGACAAATTTCATATGATTTCACTCATATGTGGAATTTAAGGAAAAAAAAAGAGATGGAGATAGGTGAAGATAAAAAGAGAAAGAGAGGAAAAAACCATAAGAGATTCTTTTTTTTTTTAATGTTTTATTCATTTCTAGGAGAGAGAGAGAGAGAGACAGCGTGAGCAGGGGAGGGTCAGAGAGAGGGAGACACAGACTCTGAAACAGCCTCCAGGCTCTGAGCTGGCAATTAGCACAGAGCCTGACGCGGGGCTCGAACCCACGAACCGGGAGATCATGGCCTAAGCGAAAGTCGGACGGTTAACCGACTAAGGCACCCAGGCGCCCCAAGAGATTCTTAACTATACAGAACAAACGGTGGGTTGATGGAGGACTGTGGGTTGGTGATGGGCTAAAAGGGTGATGGGTATCAAGGAGGGCACTTGTGATGACCACTGTGTGTTACATATAAATGATGAATCACTAAATTCTACGCCTGAGACAAATTTGACCATATATATTAACTCACTAGGTTTTAAATAAAAACTTAAAAAAGAAAAAAACTAACACAAATGTTTTAAAAATTCTAGTTCAAAAATTTAGCTAAATCTTTGACAAACAAGACTGGTTTAATATTCCTAGTTTGATGAAAACAGCTTTCTTGTGGGTTATCAACCCTACATATTGCACATATTTTAATTTTTTAAATGTTTATTTTATTTTTTATTTATTAAAAAAATTTTTTTAATGTTTTATTTATTTCGAGGAGAGAGAGACAGCATGAGCAGGGGAGGGTCAGAGAGAGAGGGAGTCACAGACTGAAACAGGCTCCAGGCTCTGAGCTGGCAGTCAGCACAGAGCCCGACGCGGGGCTCGAACCCACGAACCGCGAGATCATGACCTAAGCGAAAGTCGGACGCTTAACCGACTAAGCCACCCAGGCTCCCCAAAATGTTTATTTTTTGAGAGAGAGAGAGAGAGAGAGAGACAGAGTGTGCACAAGTGGGGAATGGGGCAGAGAGACAGGGAGACACAGAATTAGAAGCAGGCTCCAGACTCTGAACTGTCAGCACAGAGCCCAATGCCAGGTTCGAATCCATAAACTGCGAGGTCATGGCCTGAGCCAGAGTCAGATGCTTAACTGACTGAGCCACGCAGGAGCCTCTACACATATTTTTATTATACTTGAGTATAATCTTCCTAAACTTAAATGGGTTTAAGTAGCCAAGTAAGCTAGTATTACATTTACTAGGTGTAATATAATATTATATTATAAAATATTTTACATTATATATATAATCTATGTATAGATTATAAAAATATAAATTTGCTTTTAATCAACTGAGCCATTATTCTGACAAACTCTATTTCAGCAGTAATTATGTTTTACAATATGTCAGCTTAAAGACAGTTTCCAAGATCTTTTTAGAAATTTAAAACCTTAGATTCATGCTAAACAAAAGTAACAGATATTTACTAAATACCTAGATCACTCCTAAGTAAGATAAAATACTGAAATATTTATATACTTTTTGGTTATTTTTTATAGTACAGAGAGGGTGTGCATAGATTTGTTAATAAATGTGTTCATATGTGCACACTGAAAAATTATATTATAAAAATTATATAACTATAAAGTCTTATGAGATATATATTCATAAGCTTTACTGGTCTACTGCAAAATGCTGGCATATGACAGTTCAAAATGATCTACATCCTAGTTTTCTCTATAAAAGAAGTTACTAACAGTTAAAATTATAATCAATATGTATAAATGAGACTACTAAAAGTAATAAGGGAAAAGAGAACAACTTTGTATGCAAGGTATGCAATATGTTTTTGTTAAGGAAAAAGAATAGTTGTGTCCTACATTAAAATAGTGGCTCCAAAAATTTTGTAAGAATAAATGTAAGCAGATATTTTTAAAATTATAAAATGTTTACAGAAAAGAAATTTTATTTGCCATGTTGAAATTTACTAAAATTTAGTGAGATTATTTATGTTATTTTCAAAAAGAGCTCTAGTATCAAGTATTATACTGATACAAAACTAAAATTTGGTTTTCTCTCTGTTAAAATAATAAGATTTTCTTGGCTCACT